TCTAATTATGGAAGTAAATTCCATGTTTGGCATAAATAACTGCCTTTGATTTGATCTGTTTCGGGATTTTCGCCGTGATCTTTGACCGGTTACAGATATCTTGCCTTTCCGTTATTGTGCTTCGTTCAAAGTCATATTTGGTCTCGATCACCATTGGCCTCGACCTCGGCGAGCACCTCGATTCTCGAGCCTGATACCTTATCTTCGTGCCCTGTCCTGATCCATTACGAGGCGGACCCTCGACGTGATTCCCTAATCTCTCGGGCAACCCTATTTTAACCGTACACAATGTTAAACTATGCTCTCATTTTATTCCAGTTATGTATATATAAAAAAGAGCAATCGCATAGTATGATTTCTATCTTGCTTGTCTCATTACAACCATATATTATATCATCGTTCAATGAGTTAGTGGGCTCACATCTTACATGTCATGCATTTTAGATATAGGAGCGACAAACTAACTAAAGGCTTGAGATTAGCCATTAAGTTAGCTGCTCTAGAAAGTCCGAGTTACGTGGAGGTGTTGTCTATATTTTGTTTAAGTATTCGACATTAACAGTTATATTAGGCATTTTAGAGGTTCTTTGTGATTATATAACAGAAAAATAACACTGTATAGCCGCTCTTAAAATAATAGTCGAAAAAATATAATATTTTTTTGTCTACATTCTATATGTTATATATAAAAATTATACAATTTTATACACTTTTTTGATTATCGAATATAAATAGTTTATGACGTGAGCTAAACATGATAATGTCCCTTATATAACTGATATCATTATTTGTTGAATACGTTGGTAATGAGTTACGAATTTACGTCTATCTATACTATATTAAAAGCACGAAGGCCCTTAACGAAATGTCGTTCGCCTTTTTTACCCTTTAAAATTGGAGTTCACACTAGACAAAATAATCATTTAATTATTCTCCTAATATTTAGTTCTTGAAATTGACTAAAATATTTGTTATTAAATTATTTTCCATTGAACTAGGCAGGAAATCCTAAAATTTAGGACTTTAAAGTCAATTAAAACTTTACCTAACTTAAATATTTTCCTTATTTGAATTATATATGTCACATAATTATAATTCTTACATGTTGCTTTCATGGATATATATTATGTGAAAAAAAATAACGTATGTTTTAAATAAAATTAAAGTAAATAACTGATCCATCAATTTTATGCCTAATATTTAAAAAGGCACGTAAGAAATAGTGCATTTAAGTCATAGTTTTGATTTAAAAAAAATGAAAACATTAATGATAATTCATATTAAGGTGGCATGAATTTAGACTTTAAAAAGCAATTGTGACATTCTATTTTCTTTTAACAATAAGGACGTAGAATTTGAAATATACTTACAAGTTTTGTCCATTTTTATTGTCTAAATATTAAGAAATAATCAAATGATAATCTTTTTTAAATGTGACATTATTTTAAATGGTAGAATAAGTTGATCAATATATATTTTGTACACAGAAATATGGATATAAAAAGAACATATATATGTAATTGGTCGCGAGTAAAAGTACTTTAGAAAGAAATTTTAGGTAAAATAAGATAATAATTGAGCAAAAAAAAATAATATAAAAATTGTTAATAATAATCGAGTTCGGATGCCTATATGATTATTAAGTTATTAATAGAATAAGGTTACAACTTTAGCAGTACCGTAAAATGAGTAAAGATAAACAAAAATTAATTGTTGGTAAACTATCTTACATAAATTTTTTAATAAGTAACATGAAATATACATGCAATGTACGTACCCAAGTCCTCAAGTAAAGTTGAATGATTTTTTTACCTTTCAATCAAACGCTACTCCTATAATTTTTTTTGTACAATAAAGCAAGCAAGAGAAACTACTGAAGGAAGAACTATTAGACTAGATCAAACTCTTAAAGAAGAACTACTCTTAATTTTATATAATAACATAAACATATTTTTGAATATTATTTATTTTATTTATAAAATTTTATATTTTATTAACACGAGGGACACGTGCAACGCGCGTATGCTAAAACTAGTATATGTAAGTGCGTGTGAATATTAGCGTTTGAACATATCGGTTTAGTGGGTGAACCCATTAAATACTATTACAATCCTTTATTCTAAATTATGACAAAAGTAATAATCGTAAAAACTTAAAGTAAATACATATTTAAGTTTTTTTTTATCCTTACTTTTTATATATGTAAGATAAAATGGTTTCCAAGTCAAAATAAAGATTTCACTAAAATGGTTTCAGCTCGGGGTGTTAAATGGACAGGTCGGATTGATTTTGAGTAGGTTAAAATGAGTTGAATTAATAAATGGACGGGTCATTGTCCGCCCAAAAGCTATTGAGCGGGATAGGCTAGATCAAGATGGGCTAAAATTTGAGTCATATCCCAACCAGCACTAACTCTTATCAAGCATTGATTGATATGTGTTGTTTTCTTATTATTGTTTAATTATCAAGTACTTTTTTCCTTTTGTTATAGTCATATACAACTTATCAAACAAAAAAATTACTCATTGATCAATTTAGGCTAAAAAATCACTCCAATTTTAGATGAACTGAGATGAGCTAGGTTAAGATGGGCTAAACTCAATAAATAGCCGGGTCAATGACTAACTCAACCTTGAGCAAGCTGGGTGAATTAAATGGGCATGTGCTCAGATTGCCACCCCTAGTTTCAGCTTCCTCAATACATGCAAATTCTTAAAATAATGAAGAATTAACCTAAATAGTCATCTACCTAATCGCTTAAACTAAAAATAACCAGCGGATATATATAATCTACATATATCGACTAAAAAGATTAATACTTAATACGACAGGTTATTTGTGTAAAGATTCCTAAACTAATTTACATATACTACAACAACAACAAACCCAGTATATTCCTACAAGTAGGGTCTAAGTTACCTAGTGGAGGTAGAAATGTTGTTTTTTCAATAAACCCTCGGCTTAGAAAGAGTGAGAAGAAGAAGAAGAAAAAGAGAGAGAAAAAAGGGGAAGCAGAAGATGAGAGAGAAAATGGGAAAAGGGGGGGAGGGTGAGAATATGTAGTACTAAATTCTAACAACAGGAAATACGATAGCAAATGTGAACTAGATAACATAACGTAATAACGATCTACTTAAGAATATGTAGGAACATAAGTGCTACTAAAGTAACTGGTAAGAAAAGTAGAAACTTACAACCACCTACTAACCTTCTACCCTTACTTCGACCTCCACACCTTCCTATCATGGGTCATATCTTCAGCAAGCTCAAGCCGCGTCATATCCTGCCTAATCACCTCTCCCAGTACTTCCTTGGCCTACCTCGACCTCTTCTCAAATCCGCCACTGTCAACCTCTCGCATTTCCTGACAGGAGCATCAATGTTTCTCCTTTTTACGTACCCGAACCATCTCAGCCTCGACTCCCGCATCTTGTCCTCCATGGAGGTCACTCCCACTTTGTTCCGAATAGCTTCATTCCTAATCTTATCTCTCCTGGTATACCCATTCGTCCATCTCAACATCCTTATTTCTGTCACTTTTATTTTCTGCACATATGAGGTCTTGATTGGTCAATACTCCATCCCATATAGCATAGTTAGCCGGGCCACCACTTTGTAAAATTTACCTTTAAGTCTTGGCAGCGGATTCCTATTATATAAGACGCTGGATGCAAGCCTCCATTTCATCAATCTCGCTCCAATACGATGTGCAACATCCTCATCAATCTCCCGATTACCCTGGATAATAGACCTGAGATACTTGAAACTATATTTCTTGGGAATAACTTAGAGTATCAAGTTTCACATCCACATGTGTCTTGTGAGCCCCGTCAATGAATTTGTTCTCTAAGTATTCTATTTTAGTCCTGCTCAACTTGAAACCTTAAGACTCAAAGGTCTGTCTCCAAACCTCCAACCTTTCATTAACCCCGCTTCACGTCTCGTTGATCAATACTATATCATCGGCAAATAGCATGCACCATGGCACTTCCTCTTGTATGTGTCGTGTCAGCACGTCCATCGTCAAGGCAAATAAAAACAGACTAAAAGCCGATCCTTGTGCAGCCCTATCACAACTGGAAAGTGCTTTGAGCCCCCTCCCACAATCCTCACTCAAGTCTTAGCACCATCGTACATATCCTTAACCACCCTAGTGTACGCTACCGCAATGCCTCTAACCTCCAAACACCTCCACAAAACTTTCCTCGACACTTTATCATACGCTTTTTCAAGGTCGATAAACACCATATGCTAGTCCTTTTTCCTTTTCCTATACTACTCCACTAATATCCTCACCAGATGAATAGGTTCCGTAGTTGAGCGCCTCGGCATGAATTCGAACTGGTTCTCAGAAATAGACACGCTCCTTCTCATCCCGACTTCCACCACCCTCTGTCAAATCTTCATAGTGTGGCTCAACAGCTTTATAACTCTATAATTCTTGCAATTCTGGATATTACCCTTGTTCTTGTACAACTGAACCATCGTACTCCACCTCCATTCTTTCGACATCCTTTTCATCTTAAAAATGATATCAAACAACCTAGTGAGTCACTCCAAACCTGCTCGACCCACGCTCTTCTAATTCCACTGGGATTTCGTCTGGCCCCGTCGCTCTGCCCCTGCTCATCTTGCGCATAGCCCTTCCACCTCCTCCACCTTAATATGCCTACAATACCCAAAATCTTGCCGACCCTCAGAGTGCTCCAACTCACCCAGTACAATACTTGTGTCCCCTTCATTATTCAACCGTCTACTATAATTCCCTTTTTGAAATAATTTAAATATACTTAAAAAAGGAAAAAACTTCTTTTATATAATTCCCTTTTTGAAATGAAATACTAGCCTTTTAAGGTACACTATTTGTGGTGTCCCATATACGAGCGTGAAATGTAAAGTTGAAAGAATATGTTATACTCCAATGGTCTAAAAATAATAATTGGTCAACTGACCCCCCAAAATAATAAGAAAAAAAAGAAGAAAAGAAAACACAAAACATCAAGAAGAGTTCTGTAATTAGAAAAGAAGAAAAGAAAAAAAGAAAGAAAAAGGAAGCTCCAAAGGAAGATCAGTTCATCTCAAACCCCAAGCATTGAAAGCATTAAACAAACACACCTCTCTCTCTCTCTCTCGAACTCACACAGACTATACCCACACCGATATTTCCCTATAATCTTCGTCCACTCTCAACAGCGAAGAGAAAAAAAAGTGCCCTAAATAGAAATCGGAGCAACCAATTGTATCAAAAAACGTAAAAAAGGGGTTTATTTTTCACACCCAAAGCTTCAGTCTTTGTGCAGATTTTAATGAAGTAGGTTGGTTTTTTATCTCTAATACTTCACTTCTTTATTTTTTTACCAAATCCGAATAGTGACCACACCGTTGTTCTTTTTTTTTTTTTTTGGGTATCTGAATTTAGATAAATATCTGATTTTTACGTGTTTGACTTGTCTATAAATGGGAAAGGTTCTTGTTGTTTGATCCGATTTTGTTCTATTTATAATTGAGTAAACAATTGCTTTCGTTATTGATCGTGATATTTCTTGAATTGGGTTCGCGGTGAATTTTTTTGGGTGTTTATGTCAATTGATAAAAGATTATCCTTTTTGGAGTTGAAAGAAATTGGAGAAATTTTGAGGTTGAGATTATAATCTGCTTAGAATAGAGTTGTTGTAAGTTGTAGGTTGGTTCTTGACGAATATTTTAGATATTTGTATGGTCTAAACTAAAGATTTCCTTTTTGGGGTTTAGAGTGATTGGAGATTTTGTCCCCCATAAACAGAATATTAATGTGTGCACATTTTTTTGGTTAGGGATTTCTGCAATGCACCGTGTAGCAAGTGCAGGCAACACATCCAATTCGGTTCGGCCTAGAAAGGAGAAGAGGTTGACATATGTTTTGAATGATGCAGATGACACTAAGGTTAGTGATTGTTTGAAAGCTGTCCTTTTTTCTGTGTAAACTACGGTGACTAACTTTTCCACTAATGTTGATTGTTTCCCTTAGTGTCCTCCGCCCCTTGTTCTCTCACTTTCGTCCTTCTCTTATGCGCATTGTGTTTTATTTATCTATTCTGGATAGCCGGGAGCTGAACTAAGCAGAGTGGAAATTGTGATTGCTTCGTTTTTGGTTCAAGCAGCACCATGTGATTGGACAGAAAAGAGAAATTATCTAGTATTGGAATGAAATTGATGTGCATAGAATGAAATGAATAAGGAGAATTCATATGCGTACCTAGACAAATTTGAGATGGAAGGTAGTTAACTTTTTTATTTTCCAAGCGTCAGTTCTAATAAAACATTCTCAAAGTGTTCCACACTCCCAAAAAGGCCGTTATTCCCTTACTTTTACTGATAATGGGGATGTACAAGTTCGTTCGCGTGCATTTTGATTAATCCACCTATTCTTGCTACTTCCCACTAGCACAATGACTTGGTAACTTTCACTAAGGCTTAGATTGATGTGAAGAATTCACCTGGCATTGCCTCGCCTGTGATTTGAAGCTTGTTCCCAAGGTTGTTACTCCATCTATTCAACTACTAAGGCGCCCTTACTCCCTGATACCATTGAACGTTCTTTGTTACCTCTCTTTTGGGTGCCTAAGATTTGTATGACTTGTCCATGTGCGGGGTCCAAAGATCATAGAGAAAGTCAGCCGCTTTTCAGGTGGTAGTTTATTTGAAGCAGCCATAAGCTGTAATTTGCTAAAAAAACGGATGTCCTTGATTTGAAAGTTCAACTGAGCAGAGATCAACCAGCCACATAAAGTGTTCACGCCATATATGCTTTTGCTGCTAGGAGTTGCTCATTTTTTTATATTTCATCTCCTTAATTTTAACATACAGCCAAAGGTACCGATAAACATATGCTAAAATGGGAAAGGATAAAACAATATGAGGTGTAGCATATGGGATTGGGCTGCATTTTAGTTGGTGTAGAGATCAGATGAGATGGTGCCTCTTTTACTATACTGATATACTCGGCTGGAGTGAATGGTGGATGGTTGTCTAGAAGCGTGGGTGAGAAAGGGCTGTAGAAGAGTATATCTCGGTTATTAAAATTACGATATAAATTCCTTCTCAGAAAAAGAAGTTAAGATATAAATTGAATGGCGAAGAAGTATGCTAGCTAGGGATGGAATCTCTCTCTCTCTCTCTCTCTCTCTCTCTCAAGGGCTGAAGGGTGTGGTTGTTTGTACATTGCTTCTACTATTAAAGACAAAAAAAGCTGAGAAGGCTTATCAGTCCAGCTCTGCCTATGTTGATAACCAAATTTTAAGTGGATGCTCAGTGTACCAGTTATACTTTGACTTGTTAAATATCTTGTACGAATGCCTTGGCATGGATTCGTAAATTATACAATGTCACTTATTTATTCGCGTTACACATCCCAAAAAAATAAAATAAAAATGGAGAGCTGTTACCGATAAAATACCATTCTGTATCAAAGTTACCATGTGTTTTGGCGATGTTAAAAATATAAAGTAGTGATTTAAAATATCAATATTAGCTACCAAAATTGTTATCCTTTTCTTTTTCTTTTCTGATGAGTTCATAGCATCAAGCGCAAATGGAGAAAAACTACAAATATGTATGTGTAGTCAAAAACTAATATCTATAAGCATGAATACCAAATATATGGAGAAAGAAATTGAAGAAATTTACGATAAAATGAATATCAATTGCTTAATGTTGCCTCTTCAAGATTACGCTTGTTAGCAAGGAAAAATATACCTTAGAGCCTTGATGAAAACAATGAAGCGCCCTCTAAGCGAGATGAATCGTTCAACATGTTTTGAGCCTCGCTTCAGGGCTTAAGCACGCCTTTGACAACACAACAGGGCTCTTAACTTGTTATCCATCCGATGCAAGCTACTTTAGCCTGTGCTTTAATTTATAAATCATCTTCCAAGGCCACTGTCCTCTTCTACCCCCTTTTAGCCATAAGTACGTTGTAGCATGAATTCTCTGTATAACATCGCATCTTTTCTAGCTTTCTAGTGCAGGACATACGTTCTCTTACAATTTAATTGTGCTTTTGTCTATAGATCAAACACAACTCAAGAGAATATGTGATTCCAACAGTATTTTCTTGTCAATTTTATTATTTCAAGTCTTTAATATTAAATACGTACTAAGTTAGAAATAGTAATTTTCCAATCAAGCTTTCTAAAATACATTGACGCCTGCTCTGAAGAAGCCTATGTATAGTCAGTAGTGTAAAACGTTTTACGTTAGGTAGCAGATTGCAAGATCACTCCCATCTACAATTCAAAGCAATGTAGCATTAGCTGACACTTTCTTCTGTATTAAGCTGAAAAGTTTCTATGCTAACTCAGATTCATTCCTGTGACTTAAGTGATTAATATTTTCCCTTTTTACATCTATATCTTTGAAAGGTTATGCTGTCTCCGTCTTCTCTGTCTATCTTTTGTTGGTTGTTATAAAATGCATTGATGTGAAGGATCCATCTCACCTCCTGTCCTGGCAACCAAAAAAGAAATGAACTCCTTGATGTAGTTTGACTTAAATTAATTTAAGTTCTATTACAAGGTGGTTATCTTGAAGATTGTTCATCTTTCTTTCACTATTTTTTGCAGGTACACTATATTAGTATATATCCATTAAATGCATCAGTTTTGCATGTATACCTTTCATTTTTTGCAGTTCAACAAATTCTGTTCAGTTACTTTGTTTTTCATCTCTGCTAAATGATTTATACCGTTGGTTCATGACATTTTTCTGTTTACAGCATTGTGCAGGTGTAAATTGTTTGGCTGTATTGAAGTCATCAGCAGCTGACGGATGTGACTACCTATTTACTGGGAGTAGAGATGGCACGTTAAAGAGATGGGCGTTGGCTGAAGATGGTGCCACTTGCTCTGCTACATTTGAGTCACATGTCGACTGGGTACTGGCCTGTCTGGCTTGCTAGTATTATTTCCCTGGGCTCCTGCTGAAGTTTAATTTCATCTAGTTTTCGATATATATACTCGAGAAGAATATGTGTTCCTCAGATGAGGATCACCAAGTATTAGTTCCAGCTTCTGCAGTGCTCCATTTTGGCGTGGAATTCAGCAGATTAGACGAGTGAATCTCGCAACCTGGTGCACATACCAGGATGTGTTGTTGACTTGTCCTTGAGATGCTTAATTTAATACTTGGTGATGCAACTATATCCTGTTATATCTTGTTTATTATGAATATCACAGACGTTGAGTTGTTCTTGGGGCTCATTAATTGTGCAGGTAAATGATGCAGTTCTTACAGGTAGTAACAGATTAGTGTCATGCTCCTCAGACACCACAGTCAAGGTTTTATTTCTCTTTTGAACTTTTTATTATATATATTTGTGTACAACTTTTACAGTTTCTATATAAAACTAATTTCGAAATTTCTTTTGCTCTGCAAAATTTATGTGGATCATTAGGTGTGGGATGGCTTATCAGAGGGCTCTTGTATTAAGACACTCCGTCAGCACTCTGATTACGTCACCAGCCTAGCTTCAGCAGAAAAAAATGTACAATTTTTCTACGAAACCTTTTAGTATTGATTAATTGTTTGATGAATCAAAGTTATGGCCGAATATTTTGGGTTTAATGTGAGTATTTTCCTGTAATTTCTGATTTGTTGTTACCATAATAACAGAGTAATGTTATTGCATCTGCTGGTCTTGGTGGTGAGGTTTTCATATGGGATCTTGAAGCTGCACTTGCTCCGACATCTAAATCAGGTGATGCAACAGAAGAAGACTGTTCAAATGGTGTCAATAGTTCAGGAAGTTCATTGCCCATGACAAGCATCCGTCCTATTAGTTCGAGCAATAACATTTCCTTGCACACCCAGTCTCAAGCATATATTCCTGTGGCTGCAAAAGGCCATAAGGAGTCAGTATATGCATTGGCAATGAATGAGAGCGGATCCCTTCTTGTTTCTGGTGGAACTGAGAAGGTATATTTCTGGTTGTTAGGTTAGTTTTTAATCTTTTGGAATGTGCAGTTAGCTTACTACCAAAGCAGCTGTGTGTATGACTGTGTTCTGATTTTCTTCTAGGTTGTGCGTGTTTGGGACCCAAGAACTGGTTCCAAGACCATGAAGCTAAAAGGTCATACAGATAATATTAGGGCACTACTGATCGATTCTACTGGCAGGTATGTTGGATAAGCGATGCTGTGAAGGCATGTGAAGGCATTTTGACTGCTTTTAGCTCAAGTTGCAATATTCTTTGTTCATCTAAATACCATTGCTTCTAGCTGCAAAAAAAGAAGCGGGAAAAGCTAATTTAATTGTCTAGGCATAATAATATGTTAAGACTCACAAAATCTTAATCGTAAAACAATATACTACTATATAAGTTATTATCAAATACATAAAATAAATGTATAAATAAACTTGTGATCTCTTAGGCGGCATTGTTCTGTCTCCCAACATGAACTTATATTATTGGTCCATGTTCCACGTAGCTTTAGAGAAGTACATTTTTTATCCATATCTAGAAGTTTTGCTCTTGGGTTAAGTTCTTACACTGGTCGAGGCATCCGTAGTGCCTTCAGAGTGCGACCCATTGAATTCTTTTGAATAATGATTTTACTCCATTTTTGTAGGTTCTGCATATCTGGGTCATCTGATTCCATGATTAGGTAAGTATTGATTGTTCCATTACCTAGTTTTCATAGACAACAGCTTCCTTTGCGTGGTAGGTGGTTTGGGATTGAATCCTTAAATTCTGGCAAGTTTATGTTAGTGTAGCAAACAGCTTGGCTATGCTATCTGCATTGTTTTGTGAAAGGAGGTCATACATATTTTCCAAATCATATTTTGTGTTCACACTACTCTGANTGTTTTGTGAAAGGAGGTCATACATATTTTCCAAATCATATTTTGTGTTCACACTAGTCTGTTTTTCATCTGATTAGAAACTTCACTTTGCCTTCAACTCTTCAGACTGTGGGATCTAGGTCAGCAGAGATGTGTGCATTCTTATGCTGTGCATATGGATTCTGTATGGTCACTTGCTAGCACTCCGACATTTAGTCATGTTTATAGCGGTGGAAGAGACCTCTCTGTAAGTGAACTTGATACTTATCCAATATGGCTCTAGCAAGAAAAATGGTTCTCTCTCTCTCTCTCTCTCTCTCTCTCTCTCTTATGTATATATGTATCTCTCTCTCTCTATCTCTAGCTCTCTCTACCCGAATTGCTTTCAGAGCCATTGTTCTCTTTGCTAAATTTTATTTGCACTTGCAGTTGTACTTGACAGATTTGGCAACAAGGGAGAGTGTATTGCTCTGCACGAAGGAACACCCTATTTCGCAGTTAGCATTGCATGATGACGGCATTTGGGTGGCCACAACTGATTCATCTGTACATAGGTGGCCTGCAGAAGTGCGTAATCCCCAGAAAGTTTTTCAAAGAGGGGGCTCATTCTTGGCTGGAAACTTGTCCTTTTCCAGGGCGAGGGCTTCTCTAGAAGGATCTACGCCTGTGAGTTTCAGCCCCTTTATATCCTTTTCTAATGTTATGGTTAAACATACTTGTAATTGCATCTGCCGGGTTCCAAAATAACTGCTAGTTCTAGATTCCTGTTGAGAAAGGATGCATTTTAAAGATGAACATGCTTATGAGAATCGCAAACTGGCTTATGTTTAACGACTGAGCACATGAAGAATATATTTGGATTTTGAGTTTTTGTTGGGTTTTCTTATTTCACATGGAGTTTACAAGGTGTACAGAAGAAATATTTCGCCTTTTTATGTTCTGTTTGCTCTGTGTTCTCCTGGGCTTAACCAAGAAAGTTTCATCAAATTCAAATGCCTATTGTCTATTGGCATGCTAACATAAGTTGCTATATGCAAGACTCTATTCGGGAACTTATTAAAGAGGAGAGTATTAGGATTTATTATTTTTTGTGAGCTCTCTATGGATCATTTGTATTTCTAAGTCAAAATCTTTTTTTCTTTTTCTTTTTCTTTTTCTTATGCGACGTAGCAATTGTAGTTGATCCTTGTTTGCTTTAAATTCCATAGTGTTTGAGGGAATAAACAAGCAATTTATTCCCAAATATTCTTTTCTTTCTTTATTTCTTCACATATTTAAATCTTGAAA